CCGGCTCGCTCTCTCGCTCTCTCGTTCTTTGCAGCTTCTCTGCTGTTGCTGCTTTGAAGACCAGGTCCAGGTCCAGGACCAGGTCCAGGTCCAGTTAAACACGGAGCAGCAGCTGAGAGCTGCAGGATCATGTTTCAAACTTCTAAAATCTGTGCACTGCAGAACGTGCTCATTGGATCCATTAGTCCTGACTTCCTCATTTTCATTTAAATAAAATCAGTACAAACTCTTTAATTCATTTTGTTTTGTAGGTCAAAGTGTTTTATGTAACACTCCTGACTTAAAATGTTGCTGATCAATTTAATTTTATTATTTATTGACTGTATTTAATTTGATTGTTCAGTATCAAATGGTCAAAAATGTTTACAGTTTAAATAAGGATATTTTTTATTTCAGACAAATTGATGCACTTTAAGTCTTTTCTGTTACAGATTATAAAACAATGTTAATAATCTTTGTTGTCAGTTGATCTATATTTCTATATTTTTATTTTATTTCATGTTAATAAGGACTTAATGTTATGCAGAGGTGTACTTATAAGAACTTTATAGAAAAATGATACTATTTATAGTCACTGCGGAGAGTTGGGGGGGGGTTGTTTACTTCTTCCTGTGGGGGGCGTAAAAGAAACTACTTGAGAAGCCCTGCTTTAGACCAGTAGCACACATCATGGGGCCGAGCCGCTCATTTTGACATAACATTTGTGGGGTACACATGGTGGTTCAGGCCTCAAAGAATGGGTGGTGAACAGGTACTTAAAGTGTCCTCTTTCCACCCGTGCAGGTGGCAGACAGCAGCCCGGTGCCGGTGGTTCTGTACAGTGTTCCAGCCAACACGGGTCTGGAGCTGCCACTGGAGGCCGTGGTGGAGCTTTCTCAGCACCCCAACATCCTGGGCCTGAAAGACAGTGGAGGAGATGTAAGAAATGTTCATTTCTTTTTCCAGGAAGAACTAAAAAGTTATGTTCAGCTGCCACTGCAGTAAAAAGATGTTCACATGCCAAGCTGCCACACTGATGAGTCACAGATGGAGCTGCAGATCTGTTTACACTGCTCGGAGAAACGAATCCTACCCCTGGAGCCTTTCCACATTTTCTCACTTTACAACCACAAACTCCAATGTGTTCAAATAAAAGACTGAAAAGCACGGTGCATGCCCCCCCGAGTCAATACTTTGTATAATCACCTTTTTGCTGTACTTGTATCTGTGAGTCTTTGCTGTAGTTGTAGCTGCGAGTGTTTTGCTGTAGTTGTAGCTGCGAGTGTTTTTCTGTAGTTGTAGCTGCGAGTG